CCATTTCATAAGATTCATCATTCACAATCACTTGTTTGGCACCTTTAGTCCATCTTTTCAAAATATGGGGAGATGGAACACCCATAACCGATTATTTCTCACTCAACACTTTCAACGCATGGCAACACAACCACCCTTTTAATTCAAATAATTTGCAATCACAAGAAACTGAAGAGTCTGCAGGGTCAAATTTGACAACATTTCCACTCCCATTTAACTTCCCATTTAACTTGACAGTAAAAATATAAACCGATCCATCAAATGCTTCACTTGAAATACGTTGAGAGACACTTTGCATGAATTCATCATTAAACTGTTTAAAAATGGTACGGGTATACACTTTTGAAGTGTAACATCCTGAATTTCGACCTATTTCCGGGATCCGACGAAGTGGATATTATTTCTCATTTGATTTTAGTACGTCTCGCCCGAAGCTGGCCCCTCGCGGGATACTGACCAATGGGAAAGGCTAACTAGGAAAACAGTACGTGGATCGGGGACCCGATCGCGAATCGGGCGCCGATTCCGAGAAACAACAGGGAAGTATTTTGGGCCAGTGTGGACCGATTCTAGGAAGGTGACGGATCTGGTTTGGCCAACGACGTACGATCGGATCACGGGTGATTCCGCTGGACCGAGAGTGCGCATGGCAAATAAATCCCCAACCTGAACCGAACGATCGTGACCCCTGGAATAATCAATAATTCCTTGCGCTATCCCGGTAATCGAGATCGTCACAACTCGAGTGACCCTAGGTCGATACGCGTAACCCCTAAATAGCCACCCGTCAGTAAGAGACTCTAAAATTCTGAATTGAGCAATTTTGATCGCCAAATTGGACCCGAACTTCGATGTCGAAATTCTATGGGTGTTTACGACTATTTTGCAAGGCCAACATCGTTTTGGTGTGGCCACATACATTTGGGGCTAGTCCAGCTGAAAATTGGAATTTCGGCCGAAATTAGAAAAATTACGATTTTACCCTTGGACTCCGACGTCGATTTTCGAGGCCATATGAGATTATTTTTCGAGACCGATGCCGTTTTAGGGTGGCCACGCATATCTAGAGTAGTTACGGTCGAAAATTGAAATTTCGGCCCAGAAGTGAAAAAATTACTATTTTGCCCCTCCAAACTTTGCAATCGATTTTCGAGGGCTTAAAAGGTTATTTTTGCGAATCCGACATCATATTATGTTGGCCACACACATTTGGGGTCGATACGGTCGAAAAATGAAATTTCGACCCGGGACCGGAAAATTACCGTTTTGCCCTTATGGCCCATTTTTGGGTTCCGAATTTTGGCAATTTTTGGGAATTTATTGTGGATAATTATGAGTCAAAAATTCAGAATTTTTGAATGACCAAAAGGGCCCTCAATTATTGGATGAGAGTGATTAATGGCCATTGGATCAAATGGCAAAATGGTCCAACGCACCGGATTGCGACACGTGGCGCCACTTTTTGACCCATAAGACCCCTTTGACTCTCTCTCTCCTCCCATTTCTTCCCCCATCAGCCGATCATCTCCCCTCCCACGCCACTTCTTCTCTTTCATTTTCCTCTTGGTTTGGCCGTGAGAGGCCCCCGCCAGAGGAGCCGCTCGTCGGAGTGCCGTCGCGCGCGAGAGGAGCGCCGTTCGCCGCCACCACCCTCACTGACCAGAACCTCTACCGTGAGCCGCCGGAACGCCGCCGCCGATTTCGCCGTTTACCGGCAATCGGCCGCCCGTTCCCGTCGATTAGAATTTTGGGGAGTGTAAATAGGTGAGTGGAAATCCTAACCCTTAATTAGGATTATGTGCACTTTGGACAAGTTTTAGGGGTAATTGGTGGGGGCTGATTTGGGCTGATGTTGTGGTGATTTTAAGGGCATAAGGTGATGGTTTAAGGATGGTTTTAAGGCTGTGGAGACTTGATTTAGAGGTTGTATGAGTTGGATTTGCTTAATGGTGCAAGTTACTGATTCTCGGATTACTAATTTTACTGTACCTCTGCGCTTTGTTATTTTTATTGTGATCATTGTGGGCCGAATGTGAAGAAGTGTTTTTCATGAAAGTTGTTCCCAACATCTTTAAGTATAACATAATTTAATTTGGGAATTTTTGGAAATCATTTGAGGCCATTCGGAAGTCTATCTTTGGACCGAAACAAAACTGCCCGATTTACTGTTCACCCGACCTTCTGGTCTGTTCGAATTTTTTATAAATTTTTCCAGGCCTATTTTCAAAATACTTCCTTCTCAAAAATTATTGGGGACATTTGTGGTTATAACATATAAAAATTTCAAGGCTTTCCAAAATGATTTGGGTACTGAATGAGTTGTATTTTTCTGGCCTGACGGGCTGTCCGAGCGAATCGGATTTTGTCCGACTTGGAGTGTCAAAACGAGGTGTTTACGGTTAGAACTGGGTTTCTAGTTCTCCACGGAAAATGTTCATCGAGATGTTTTGTACAACATATCCAAATTTCATAATTTTTAGAATTGATTTACCATTTATTTCAAATGGATTTCTGTCACTGTGCAACTGCCCAGTTTGGACCCGATTTTGCATATTTCCAGTTTTTCTCTCTCTCGGACTGATTAGTGGTTGATTTGGGTACAAATTGTGCTTGATTGTGTTAAATTTTGTGGTGCCTCGTTTGAGCGACTCGGTGGTTGAATGGTACTTTGTCGTGCTCAGTTGTTTAATGCCATGCCGCCTGATTTCGTGTTCGAGCAATGCGGTGTGTGTTTGGCCAATCATTGGTGTGAATGTTTATTGCCCAAGTGCGTAAATTATGTTTTGGGCCACATGGTACTAGTTGGCTAAGTGCGCATGTTATGCGAATAAGTATGGGCAATTGATTGGCTATTTGAGCACGTTGATTTGGCATGTTTGTTGAAATGCCGTGCTGAAATTGAATGCTCATATTGCATTATACGACATTGCATGGCCACGCATTGTGTATGTCTAGTGTGAGGCATGTGACGAAATTGTGCGAGAATGCGTGTCTGCCATGAGCATGTGATCACCTAATTATACCCTGATGCGTTTTACGCGGGGTTCAGATAAAAATTGACAGTGTGCCATGTTATCACTTATTGGCCTTCGGGTCGTGCCGTCCTCATGCACTTTGTAGCAGGACGATGCCCGGTATGTCCGAAAGACGACCAACCTCATGCACTTTGTAGCAGGCTCTGGTTCGTAAGGAGATCGGTATTGCGCCTCATGCACTTTGTAGCAGGCTAGAGACACTGGGCCTGGGGTGTTTTTACGCTGGCCGTGGAGTGTTGTGAGCCTTCGGGCCGTGACCTTCGGGTCGATTTCTAATTAAAAATGAGCTGTATGCCAGTATGCAGTGTGAGCCAGAACGAAACATGGCATGATGATGACATTTGCATGCATAAGAATGCATGGGCCAGTGTGTGAGTGTGCAAGACTCGGTGAATGGCATGCGAGATGAACACTTCGAGTATGAGCATGCGTATGGCGTACGTGTGAAAATGTGTGCCATGTATGTGCCGTGATTTTTATGTCGAACTGTTTAACCTGCAGGGTCAGCAAGGTAAGCGAACCGGACTCAAGAGCCTAGGTCATTTGATTGACATTATTGTCCGTTGTTGTGTTGATTTGCTTGTCGGGAGGTGCATGTTAACCTAATTTCGATTTAGGAGGCCTACTCACTGAGATTCGTCTCATAGTTGTTTAAACCCCGTTTTTCAAACTCCTGATAGAGGTTGCCTGGTGTACCTGATCCATATGAGAATCCGGAGCCCATAAAGCAGGAACCCGAACAGGTTGGCGAGGTCGAGCAGATGGATTCAGAGGATGAAATAATCGAGGCTGAGTCCGAGTTATCAGGATCTGATCTAGATTAAGTTTCCTAGGATCAGCCTTAGCCTCCCTTAGGTCGGGCCAGTAACCCCTTTTGATTATAGCCCCACCTTAGACTGCCCCCTTAGCCACTTAGGGATTTTGTTAGTAGTAGCCGTCGACCCGCTTTTGTTTGGCGACTTGTATTGGTGTATAGTGGACATTGTATATGTTTTGAAGTTCAATGCAAGTCTTGATTATTAGGCTTTGAATTATTCGACGTTCCTGCTACCCTTGGTCATGTATTGCTTTGTACGGGTGTTTTAATTATCGCTTCCGCATGTGCCTTATGCTCTGTGTTGGGAGTTGGGTCGGCGACGCGGCCTGGGACGTCGCAGCAAATTCGACCTTTGCGAGGGATGTTGCGCATCGTGGGGTTCGGGGTGTGACATGAAGCATGCGTCAAGATGTCATTACCCAAAATTGCCAATTTGGGATTCCCTCGACTACTGAAATCATCTTGAGTTTCAATTTCTCATGTGCTTCACTTGTTCTTCATAGTGGTGGACAAACTCTACAAGAGTCAATGTCTTCGTCGACATTCGTTGGAAGACATTATTGGTGCTCTCCCTCCATTGACTAGATCTTATACATGTAAAAATGTCACGACCAAAAGCTAAACCCCATTTGTGTCTAATGTCGTATAATCTCCGAAGCCAAGTGTTATTCGTAGTATCCCACTCCTTTTCCATTTCCCTCCAAGTAAATTCAAATTCTTCCTCCGATGTACATCTATACATAAGCGCTAAGAAATATGTATCCTTAAAACCCGGCTTATGGTAAAGATGTGGGATGTTTTGGTTGGCATTTTTCCCGATGTGCCAAGTACATAAACGGTGTTGTGTATTCAGAAATACCGTTCTAATGGCTTTTGCCATGGCTTGGTCTTGATCAGTGAATATGGTTTTCGGTGCCTTATTTCCCATAGACTTCAAAAAAGCCTCAAATAACCATATAAATGATTCTGCAGTCTCGTCCAACAAAAATGCACAACCGAACAAAAACATTCTTCCAATGGTGATTAATCCCAATAAATGGTGCACATATCATGTTATATTTGTTGGTACGATACATGGTATCAAACACTAGAACATCACCAAGCAATCATAATCAAATTTCAACATGCTATCTCTCCAAAATAAATTTGTCAATCTACCATCTTGATCTACCTATACATCATATGAAAACATTGGATTTTGCATTTGCATGAGATGAAAATGATTTAAAACACTTTGACCATCTCCCCCACTTATACCATCGGATCTTTTCGTTTGCAAATAATTTTGACAATCACGCAGGTTAAAACCCAAGTTTTTGCTTCCTCCAGCTTCATTTGCTAAAAACTTATACGCTGTAGTCCCTCCAATGCCGGCTTTCCTCATGTCAACTAAGACACTCTTAGAAGTATCAGACATGATTCTTCCACATCTAATCAAATGCTTTTGATCATCCGGAATAAATGCATGATTATGCTCAGAAATATGCTTCATGACTTCATAGACACCATTGTTAACCTTAAATTTGATACGAGCAGGACAGCCATATCTAACTTCATACCTCTCAAATTTCTTTTCTTGATCAGATGAGCTGACAGAATGCCCCTCACAATGGCACACAAAAGTTCGTCGGGTTAATTCTCCTTTACCATTTTTGAACATATTACCCTTTCTCACCCCAAATCCTTTGCCGATTGCATAGGCCACATACTTATCGTATGCTTCAAGTTCATTTGGAAAAACCATTCCTACCGCAAACTCATAATCTTTTTCCATATCACGCATTACGTGTGCAAGATGGGAAGTTTCATGCTGCAACTAAAAGAACAAAAAGTTATCAACGCGGTGGTTTAAGAAAAATATATTTCACATAGTATGAGCAAATAATTACCTCTGATTCAGCCATCCGATAAATTTGCACCCAAATTGATACCAAATTGGGATTAAAATGACACTAAAACAGTCCCAACCAGCAAGCTTGAATGATAATTCCAGCAGGTTTAAGTTCAATAATGACCCTACTTGACGAGAAATAGATGTATATCAATTGTTACGGATGTCCATACTCATGTATATGCTCAGAAAACTAGAATGTGGAGTTCATTATCAGAAAAGACATCCAAAACTATAATGTAGAAACTACGCACGCACGATACATATATGCAACACAGCTGGGCTTTTTTTTTTTTTTCAAATGGAGGTTGTCATCCATGGAAAATTTATGTACATGAGCAAGCCACTACCGTATATGTAAAGTTAGAGATGACAGTATCCGAAAAAATTGCCATCATGATAAAATGAGCATGAAGGGTGACATCGATTTAATGCAAGGGGCTGAAATGTGATGCACTACCATTCATTCTAAGGAGCTCAAACACTGAACAGCGAGTGACAATTCATGCGATACTGCCAAGTTCAAAACTAAGGAAAACAACTTCCTAATTTAAAAAGTGGAAGTCATATTCCAAAAAAGTAAGGAGGACTATTCTTACCCAAGTGTTTTGATGGATAACCAAGTAAAACAAGGAATTTTTCAAGCATACGCACTCAAGTGAGGGCGCATTTTCATTAGGAGACCACAGAATTCTCCGGACAAAACTACCATGAACTGCTCAAATGGAAAAAAAATTTGTTTCAATGCGATTCACAATTAGATATAGAGTCTAGTTGATGCACCAAACTAGCAGTACGTCATCACACACCATTATAAAGCAGGAAAAGCACTCTCACAAATTATGTTCAACCATGAATGAAGCAGGACCCTATGCAACACCAGTGCAGGTACAGAATTAGTCCACTCGTTCAAGGTCCTCTCCACATCATCTCTAATATACTGTCGTCATCTCTAGTACACATTCACAAAAGATGATTATCCGGTAAGACATTCAACTCAATTTTCTCTGGGGAATTTTAATGAACATCTGGCCACCCCCCTCCCCACAACAACAAATTCTAGCCGCAACACACCATTCATTCGGAAGCCACCAGATAAAGTACAGCACGTCATTCATTGTGATGTATCGAGTTACGCTAGCACTACCCTATTCATTCGGTCCATTCGATCTAGCAACATCAAAACCTCAAACACTCAACAGATTTGGCTTAGGCATTTTTTCAAACACAAGGCGAGCAGCAAGCTAAGGGGCAAATATTGATCCATTCGGCACCAAGAAAGTATAAATAAGTACTAGTTATCGGCGGCTCAGTCCATGCCGACTTATTGACAGGAATGTCGAGACATCTACTCTATACTAACTCACGATCTTTCACACACTAACAAAAATACTTCTTTTATTTGATGGGATAATATGCACCTCAGAGAGAGGCATTAAAATGACACTTTCAAATCATTTCAAATGCTCAGAAAACACAATTAACAAAGAAACAATGTTTTGAGACAAGCACCAGAACTATTTTGTCAAAGAAGTTGGAACTCCCACGCTCGGAACAGGTGATTTACAGGTTGGAAAGAGTGACCATAAAGTGAGAAGTATCAAAGAATGCTGCACTAACCAAACAAAGGAACTATAATATTGAAAGTCAACCTCATCCTTGCATGACAAAGAAGAGGCAACTACATGGTCTTTCCCTGATCAAACCGAGCAACACGGAAAATTCATAATCGAGACACAAATTTCACTACAGCAACAGAAACAGCAACTAGATCCTTATAATAAGACTAGAAAGCTCAGTTTAAACAATCACAGCAATAAACAAACATAGGAGAACCATCACTAATGCTATACCATACAAGGTGAACATAACAAGTGCAAACTCACCATTCTGATAATGCAAATAGAAATTTTCCCTGCTTTATTGAATCTAACTTACAGTCTAATTATTTGCGAGTCATTTACCAAGATAAACCGCAGAACGACAATTACACTTTCAAATTTGGCCATTCAGAATCCTGATCCCAAGTTGACATAGCTCAATGAGGGGACCCCAAAAAATGAAATTTTTATACTAATTGAAGGAGCTCTAGGATCAGTCCCATGTTGCCAAACATAAACAAGCTCATCCCAACCTGTACTACTGAGAAGCCCTTTGACAAGCACACTCATGTCAACTAAATGTCGTGAATGAAAATATACATGAGGAAAAAAGACATCACGATCTAAAATATACCTCGCTCGTGGGAGGTGACGGACGTTGCTCGTGGGTAGCGGAGGACCTTGCTCGTCGGAGGCGGCGTTAGTGTCGGCTAAGTGGGAGTCAACGCCTAGGCAAATCGGAGCTCAACCTCAAATCCACCTATTTTGTAATTTGTAAATCCAAGCTCAACCTCAAATCGCGGGTAAACAAACACCCACCAAGCAATACACTTCAACTCTACGTCAGGCAAAGGAACCCAACAAGAGCAGAACCCGGAAAAACCATTCTTCTTCAGAGTCCTGAGGCAAACACAGAATAGAACAACCTCAACACACTCACACCACTAAACATAATGTAGCTCATCTTCTGTACTAGACCCCGAAAAAAGAAAACTTCCTTCCTTATTTTACTTTTAACAAAGACCCAGATAGTAACAAAAGCAAGCTCACTCTCAGAACACGATGTGAATTACATCGAGTAATACCTCCTTGGTGAGCTATTGTTTACACGCATAACCTTCGATGATTTATGGTCAGTGGAAGAAACCAACTCTTTCCAAATAGTCGATGCAGTACTACAAGCACAGTTAACAACCTATACATAAATTCTCTTTTACCAGCCGAAAGTAAAATTTCTATTGCTACGTGCCTTGCTAGTATTTGCCAAAACCAATCACGCAAAAACATAATCATGAGTTCGCATTTGATAAAATATCTATGGAGTAAATGACCATGCGTTGTTGCACTATGATAACTTTCCAGTGTGTCTGCAAATTCAAATGTCATCACCTTCTTTGCAGCAAGCAAGGCCGCACGAGATACAAGATTTATAGCAGCCAACTGTCCGCCCTGTATCCCAACAAACATAATTAAATAAGTCAGATTTTCAATCTCCTTGTAATTATTAGTTCAAGCGCCATGCCAAATAAATACAAAATTTTCATTAACTACAGCGCAAAACCTTAATTTGCTAGGTCATTTATAAAGTGAGTATAGAGACTTCAAGAGAATCATTCAATTATGAAGGAGACCCCCCTGCATACTCGCTGCGTGCTCTGTCTTCTAATTTACTCTTTTTGATCCACAATTGTTTATCCCATTGGAAGAAGGATAATGCTTCTTACGCACTTTCGCTTCTTACGCATATTTTCGACAAGCATTAGATCATCCAGTAACCAAACGAACAGGATGTGTATTCTATTTCCATGTCGTGAGGACTTGATGAACTTAATGACAATACAAAATTTGCTAAGCACTTACTTTCTTGACAACTTCCTTTCTTACACAATACCTTAATTATGGAAGCATGTCATTCTTGGAATAATTAAAAATCAAACAATCCTATACATGTGTGGCTCTTTCCAGTGGTCCTGAAAAAATGGATGCGAATTTATTTGGAAATTGTAATACACGAAAGAGCCAAAGCCAGCACAGTCTAACAGCAATACCCTTGAACAAAAGAGTCTAAAATAGCAAAACTTGATTTTCTTTGCAACTCTCTTTGACAACCGAAATTTGGCAGTGTTTGCTTGCATATTTGTATGGCAATTATCTCACATCAGGTGCTATCATTAAAATGTACAATTCCTCAACTATTGAAGAACCAACTCCTCTAAATTCAGCAAAGTTTTGCAGTAGTATTGTCCAACTAAAGCATTGAACATTTTCCTTTACTAGTAGATCTTTTTTATAACATTAAGCAGTATGGTCACATAAATGACAGGTGATTATATCAGACGAGATGCTAACGTGAGAATTTTAAGTTCCTCATACGTCAAACGAGCATACTCCTGATAATAGTAATACAGCATAAGGTAGATTTCACCAGTTTATTTTCTTCTAGACAGAACATATTGTGAAAAGGTCAATCCTAAAATCTTCTCCGTGCAGTGACCGAATTCATCTAGTCTTAGAAAAGACATTAGACTGATAACCCAGCACTGGATAGGATGAAACATAGTATGCAGACAAGAAGATGCACCAAATAAGCATAGCATCTAATCACACATGAAGTCACAGGCAGATGGGTCAATCAATTGAGCTTCCCCTGAATCTGGCTTAAGTCGCGTAACATGTGTATAGCTCATACCACGTCAACGAAAAACCCACAAGATGCAGTACTCAAGATGCAGCCATGAACCACCCTCTGTTCTACCACAATCAACCCTCTCAGCTATTTTCAGAAACTATCATAAAACTTATGGTGGCAGGGCAACGAGCAGACACAAACACAAAAACCCCCAAGAAAAATCATGAAAATCCGAACGAATACATTACCTTCGTGAACATGCCTAAACCCTAGCGCTTGAAGTAAGTTCTTCCTCCCTGTGGTGAAGATGAGGATAAGGGGGACGAAGCGAAGCGTGACGAGCAGCGAGCGACGAGCGGTGAAGGGCGGCGAGTGGCCGGGGCGGCGAGCGACGGGCGGCGAGGCACGGCGAGCGATGGGCGGCGAGGCGCGGCGAGCGGCGGTGAAGCGCGGCAAGCGGCCAAGGCGGCGAGCGACGAGCGGCGAAGGAAGCGCGGCGAGTGGCCAGCAAGAAGCGTAGGATGGGATGGGAGCGAAGCGTCGTTCGTGGATGGGGTGCCTAAGCGGGTGAGGGAGACGGAGCGCAGAGCGGAGAGCAGATGGGGAGCGCGAAAGAGAGAGAGGGAGTGTGGAGAGAGAGGGCTGTTTTTAAAAAAAATTTCTCCCAGCTTCAGCTCAGCTCAGCTCAGCGCCGTGGGAGAGCCTTCCTGACATGTGGGTCCTCTCGGACACGTGTCGCCACGCCAGAGTTGTTATTTCTCCACGGTGGAATCCCTAGTGGCACCCAATATTTTCTCGGCCATGAGGGGGTCGTACTAACAGGGTCAGTATGACTCTGTGCATGTAGAAACAATAAAGTGCAATGCTTAGAGGATGGCCCGAGTAAGTAGAAAAATTTGCACCCAAAGCAGCTACAAACTTTTTTCATTATGGATGCACCGCAGCACACCTATATAATGGATGGTTAGCACACTCAGAGTCTGGCAACAGATTTCGCAATGGCTCTTCCTTCTTTGGTCGCAAGCTTCCTTCCCTCCTCAATTCACCATAGCCAACCCTCCTCCTCTTCCTCCTCCGCTGCGTCCTCCGGCCCTCGATTCGCGACATGCGGTTTGAAGATTGAAGATCAAGAGATTGCGAGACGTTCGGCGAATTGGAAACCGAGCGTTTGGGACTATGATTTTGTGCAATCACTCGGTGTTGATTACACGGTAATGTTTTTCTTCTTTTTTTCAGCACAGAAGGATAGAAATTCTCGAAGTTTATTTTTTTTGGTCGAACAGAAATTCTCTAAGTTCAAGAGCTTGATTGTGCAAATTTTAAGTTCAATGACCACGTTGACTACAAAAATAACCTGAGTAAAGCAACCAAATGTACACTTTTTCCCTATTTTTATGTACTTTAATGGGATGAGTCCACCAATACAAAAAAGACACAACCAAAAGAAAATTCGTCCTTTGAATTAGATATATGGATGTTTACTTCTTATGTACTTCTGTATATAATTTATATACGACGTTCGAGATATGAAACATCAATTTACACATTCATCCACTGCCACTCTATCAAATACACGACCAACCCCATCAACATTCTATTGGAGACATTAATAAACCTATTAATAAACCTGGTCGAAATAGCATATTCTCAATATATAGACACGAGCTCAACCGTGCCTACTCAAATGTTTTTGCAAATAAAGTGAGAATCGAACTGTTTCCATACGGGAGGCAATATTGAAGTCTGCTTGTGTATTGACTTTGATTAAGATCTCATTTTGCTGAGCTTTTCATGTGCCTAGGAGGATATATATACGGAGCAAGTCCGAAGGTTGAAGGAAGAAGTCAAGGGTCTATTCGACCGGGAGATGAATCAGGTGGCAAAACTCGAGCTCGTTGACGGGGTTCAAAGACTGGGACTAGGATATCATTTCGAGACAGAGATCAAGAGCGCTCTTGGTTCCATCCATAACAACATCGAAGATGCTCAGCTTTCAGATGATCTCTATCCCGCTTCCCTTCGATTCCGGCTACTCAGACAACATGGATACAACGTACAGCAAGGTAGTCACCAACTAGTTAACCTCTTTAAATCATGTTGATGCACCAAAATTTACCTTACCATTCCTTTTTTTGGACATATAGATGTGCTTCAAAGGTTTATGAACGAGACAGGCACATTCAACGAATCGCTCAAAAGGGATGTGAAGGGGGTTCTTGGTCTTTATGAAGCTTCTGTCCATGGATTGGAAGGTGAAACCATACTTGATGAAGCTTGGAACTTTGCTTCTAAGCATCTGAAGGATCTAAACCTCGACAAAGTTCCCACCAATTCAGCGAGTAACGTGAGTCATGCATTGGATATGCCGATCCACTGGAGGCCAAATAGGGTGGAGGCTCGGTGGTTCATTGACATGTACGAGAAACAACAAGACATGATGCCATCTTTGCTACGATTGGCTAAGGCTCCATTCGTTTGGCGGAAAATATTCTCCCGGAAAATATTTTCCGGATTTTCCGGTGTTCGGGGGGCGAAAAACGTTTTTCGTGGGAAAATATTTTCCTTCCCCCCCTCACAAAATAGCCTAAGTTTATGGAAAATGACTTCCGCTTCTTCAAAAGCGGAAATCATTTTCCGGAGCTTCTTCTTCTTCTTCTTCACTAAGGTCGCGGCCCTGCCGCCGCGCCGGCGCCGCCGCCGCCGCCGCCGCCGTCGCCGCGCCGCCGCCGGTCGCGGTCGCCGCCGCCGCCGCCGCGGCCGCCGGCCACCGCCGGCGAAAAATATTTTCCGAAACTTTTTCATATTGGTCGCCGAACACCGGAAAATTATGTTCCGGGAAAACATTTTCCAGGAAAATGACTTCCGAGAAAATATTTTCCAAAAGGAGAATATTTTCCGCCAAATGAACGGAGCCTAAATTAGACTTCAATTTAGTGCAGTCAATCTACAGGAAGGAACTTAGCAATGTGGCAAGGTATACACAAGCACTCTATAGTTCACAGATGCAATCTGGCAAGGTAGGAGCGCATTTTGATTGACTTAGTCATCACATGACAAATTTTTCAGGTGGTGGGATGAACTTGGGGCGACCAACACGACCTTCTTTAGGGACAGGCTAGTGGAATGCTATTTCTGGAGCATTCTAATGGTTTTCGAACCTCAATATACAGCTTTCAGAGAAATGAATGCGAAGATCGCTTGTATGGTGACACTTATCGATGATGTTTATGACGTATATGGGATGCCGGAAGAGCTTGAGCTCTTAACAGATTTCATTGTCAGGTCTGCGTAGTATTAGAACCATCATCATTTTCCCTTGTAACTATTATTGCCAAGAAAAAAGACGGAATTAATTAGTCTATGAACGCTATGGAAAAAATAGTAAATACTATATATTATAAAATAAATTCTTCAATGTGTTTTGGACCTATCATGGTTTATGTTAGCTTTTTTTTCTTCTATGTAATTGATTGGTTTGGGCTAATAACGTAACGGTAGGCACTAACTTTCATTATTATTGCTAAAAAGCGTATTCAGTGACTGTAAAATTCATAAGATTGCTGAAATTGTGATAACTTATCTAGGTGGGACATCACAGACATCGATAAACTTCCTCCAATAATAAGAGATAGTTTCATGCTCTTGTACAACACCACCAACGAAATTGGGTATTGGACAATGAGAGAGCAAGGAATCAACCCCATCCCTTACCTGCGGAAAGTGGTAATCTCGACTTGATAAATCGTTCACCTAATAATTTCTAGCCCGTGTAGGGCAATTCATTTTTCTATGGGATAATTGTCCAAAAAGTCCTAAACCTATTGTACAGCGGCCAATTCAGTCATAAACCTTTCAATTGTACCAATTTAGTCATAAACCTTTTGGCAATTTGCCAATTTAGTCCCAAACCTTTCAATTGTGTCAATTTAGTCTAAAACCTTTTGAAGATTTGTCAATTTATTTCTAAATCTTTTGACGATTTGCCAATTCAGTCCTTTCGGCCAATTTTAGCTGAAAATCGTTGACAAGAACGCTGGTTGTCCTACATGACACGGCCAGCGGACGGCCGACGTTGGCCTAGAAAATTTTTTCAAATTTCAAAAAATTGCAAAAATTGTCCACGTCCAACACTGGTTATTTCACGTAGGATGATTGGCCTTGACTAGACCTCCACGTCAATGATTTCCGGTCAAAATTGACCCGAATGACTAAATTAATAAATCGTCAAAAGGTTTATGACTAAGTTGGCATAGTTGAAAGGTTTATGACTAAATTGGCAAATTGTAAAAATGTTTATGACTAAATTGGCACAATCGAATGAGTTAAGACTAAATTGGCCGTCGTATAATAGGTTTAAAAGTTTTTGGACAATTTTCCCTTTTTCCACTTCTAACTTTCATTATGATTTCTATTTAAACATTTGAGAATCCGTAAAAGTAGGAGAAAAGAACGTCCCTCGACTTGGTCATTGACCCACTCTTCGAATTCAAATCCTATAGTGGGCCAATGAATGCAAGGCGTACATAAAGGAGGTCCATTGGTACAACAAGGGCACTAAACCGACACTGAAGGAGTACGTGGACGTTGCGGTGAATTCAGCCGGAGGGCTGGTTATGCTGTTGACCAGTTACTTCCTAACCACGGATAAATTGACGGAAGAGGGACTTGATTACGTGTCGAAAATGCCCAGTGTCGTGCATTGCTCTGCCAAGATCCTTCGACTCAACAATGATCTCAGTACATCATCGGTAACTTATTTTTATATTATTCTTCTCCTTGTAAATAGTGGCTTATAAAAAAAAAAGAGTACATCATTGGTATATTCATAGTGACAAGCTATTCTTTCTTATATCTTCGATACGAATGTGAGATGAGTATTTGGACTTATGTTTGTAATGTAACATCCTGAATTTCGACCTATTTCCGGAATCAATGAAATAGATGTTATTTCTCATTTCATTTTAGTAAGTCTCACCCGGAACTGATCATTCTCGGGATACTAACCTTTAGGGAATGGCTACCTAGGGAAATGTACGTGGACCTAAGAACTCGATCATGAGTCGACCTTCGGTGACGATCGAGGTCGCCATGACTCGAATAACCATAGGTCGATACGCGTAATCCCTAAACAGCCGCCCGTTAGTGAGAGACCCTAAAATTGAGATTGGGCAATTTTGATCGCGAAATTGGATCCGGACTTGGATGTCGATTTTCGAGGTCGTGCGCGACTATTTTTACGAGGATGACGTCATTTTAGTGTGGCCAATGATGTTTGGGGTAAGTACGGTCGAAAAATGGAATTTCGACCCAGAACTCAGAAATTACAGTTTTGCCCCTATGGGCACCGAGGCTAGATTCGGAGGCCGTTTGAGGTTATTTTTCGCGGCCAAGGTCATTTTGGGGTG